AAGTGAGCTATTATAGCTCGCCAGGACAATGATATTACATCGTGGGGTGTGCACGTGGGCACTAGGGTTGCCACGTGATGTCATGATTGAGTGCTATGATTGGTCGGTTCTGGTCCACGTGGGCCGGTGCAGACTCGGTCAGGTGAGTTCGAGTCTTCATAATGGATAAACACTTCTCGACCACCAACATCAGCTCCGACGATAATGAGCATTTGTATCACCAGGGTGTCCTGGCGACCACGTGACCCCTGATTGAGGGTTCTGGTTGGTCGTTGCTGGATCACCTGAGTTGTTTTCTCGTGTTTGATTGGCCAAGCACGCTTTACGGAAGGCGGAACAATTTTATTGGGGCACTGAGCATCCTAGTGACAATCACGTGGAGACAATTAGCGGGCTCTTAAGAGGCCGTGTACCACAAAGGTAACGGTCCTTGTCCCCTAATTATCATAAACAAGGCATTACAGCGTTATTGTGAAATATCATAATGTTCCCTAGCCGAGTCTCTCTCTTTATGCCTCAAAACAGAATGATTTCATTTGGCGTTATATAGGGAGGTCAGTGATTGGTGGTACTGGAAATGATACGAGATATTTTTAGATAATCCCGGACAAAGAGTTGACATGTTGTTCATTTAACAAACCAGATAATGAGTTTGCTGACGAAGGGTGAACTTTTCAATCATAGGAAATGAAGGTTGTGGGAAGATCCAGGTCACAGGGAACATATTGCTATTTAAGTTCAATTTGCGAGAAAGGCAAGTTCCCAGAGCCAACTGTAAAGCTGTAATCCAACTCCGGGCTTGTTCTTTGAGAGAAACGGATACTTAAATACCACCGTGACAGGATACAATTTTAAACTCTTATGCTCACAAGGAAGGTTCGCATTCACATTGGTAGGAGGAACCTCGGCTTTAATAAGGTGTTTACGTTTTATATAATTGTAGCCACCTGTGAAATACACGTCAAGGGAACCTTTATTTCCGAGTAAAAGTTCCCAGACTTTGTTTAATACGAGCCACTTTGATCCAATAACCTTCTTAGACGCGCTTCCAAGTGGCACTTAAATGTTTGGACCAGCGCATCAGCTGGTAATATCTAAAAGAAATGTTCGACCAACTAAGTAAAGCAACCACTTCCAATTTCTGCTGTGGGACAGAGCTGCTTTTATAGGGACAAAATGAGCTGATATCAATATCCGGGATATATTTTATCGTCTAGACATTACGAAGAACGGAGATTTATTTCCTTGTTGCAAAAATCAAACTTTATTGGCTTATAATCCGTTATAATGTCTTATATAACAGTTCATAGTTAGTTTTAATAGAATGATCAATCGATCGTGAAAGTACCTTGATTTCAGTCCATTGTTAAGTACATCCAAAAGTCAAACCACTTAATCAACTTAGCATGACCTTTAGAAATCGATGATATAAATTGATTGGGGGTATTTATTTCGACAATGAAGCCCATTAAAATCTAAAGATCTAATATCATTACCGATCAGTACAGATGATGGTCGCCGTGCCATTATCCAAACGAAAAGAAAAGTTAATGTTAATGAGTTCTGCCTGTAGTGAATGCAACGATATTGACCATATCACACATTTCACGCCTTAGGGCCACGACAAGCCCTGACTTTCTGAACAATTAGAGCCAGTGTTATAGAGAATCCGTAGAAATACTACTTTCCATCACTCGATATCTTAATGTGAACACGAAAATATCCTTCATGGCATATTTTCAATGTGGATAAAGGTGTTACGTCAATCGTGGAATATTGCTCACGATTGACGATCATATTAAGAGGCTGGCAACTGCTGGATTGTCAAATTACGCGATACAAAGTTCGTTCAAATTTCCAACACCTTTTGCTGGTTTCAACAATAATAAAGACATCATATCGCTTCGACAATCGACTTTTGACCGGACGTGTCCATAACAAACTGAATTCAATCAACTCGTTAACAATTCCAGAGATTTGACAAGCCTTTGAGCCTGCAAATGCGGGATCAAGCAAAACCCAGACACGGAACCCATCCAAAGCCTATATACTATCGGGAATTCCCCAGCCATTACGTAACCCGCAGTCACATGACCGTGACCGCGCGATCCTACTGGCCAACAAATCACACGTGACCGTGATAGCACGTCCTGATTGGATGACAGTGCGGTGCGCAAATATCCGGCGAATACAGGACCGTAAAATTGGTATTTCCTAGTGAGACGGGGACAGGGTACCAGGCACAACCAGGAGATAGAGGTAACAGCAACCCAGACGTGAACACAAACCCAGACACTTGTCGGGGTTTAAAACTCCGGCTTAGTCAACACTTGTAACTATCATCCCCTGACGTAGTCTCCTTCTAATCTATTCTAGGAAACTTGCTGCAAGTTAGTGAGATCATGGGAACAAGGGATCGGAACAGTGTGTCATGCAGTCTTCTTAGACCTCTTTTTTAATCAAGCCTAGCCGGAAAGCCTCTAGGTTCTATCTCGTCACCTGTTGACGTAGACGTGTACCCAGACAAATGGAGTTGATTGTTCAAGTATAAATATCAACGGGAAAATGCTCCTGAAATTGAGTTTTAGCCGCCGGTGAGTACCTCTGAAAAACGATGAGAGCTTGCTCCTTGCATTAGATACTGAGTAGTGACTAGTGAGCTGATCATGTGGCCTGTGGGTAAAATATATGGTGCTGTCTACTAAATTGTTAATGTTATCTTGTTGTGGGAAAAGGATATGGTCCACTGTCTACGCCTCTACATATTATATTGCAACAATCACACAAACAATATTAAGCACTCAGTACCCTCTGATAATATTCAGATTTGTGCGGGGCTACAATATGCAATAGCAAATCTAATCGGGAGCGCGTGCCCGGGACCACACCCGAGAGAGGGGGCACAACAATGAGTAGCAGCAAGGAACAGCAGCAAAAGAACCTGAGGCAACGACAGTATGTGCTGACCACCGTTGTCTTGGCAACCAACAATGATTCTCGGAGACTTCTAACACTTCCTGGTGCGGCTTACGGAAATGCCCGTATCGTATATCACTGTCTCCTTGGCGCTCAGCGCTGGCTTCCTATTGGCTGGCGTCAGCAGACAACGGCGCTCATTGGCCCATGTGACCGCGCGGCTCTGTGCTCTCGTATTAGCCACCTGATACAGCAGCTCGAACATTAAATACACTCCACTCGGTGTCAGCAGGAAACCAATAGGACAGGAAGCGGGACGTCACGTGGTCACACTTAATGCCCAGTAATGGTACAAATTACCGCCATGTGTTGTCCGGGTAATGAGCACGTGGGCTGCCCGGCAACGCACGTGTTCCAGGTAAAGGAAGTCACGTGGGACGGCAGGAAACCACGTGACTCACCAGGGAGAAAGAACGGTGTGCACAGTACATATAGTGTAATTATAACACTTGTATACCAGCCGTTCGCTCCTGCTCGACGCATTTCGGGATTAATCAGCCCAGGGCTCAATGCACGGATCTCTGCAGTGGGCTAAACGAGTCGGTAATCACGAATACGTGTGCCTAATAACTGCCTTACACCACCTGGGCCTGGTTGCTACAGCTGCCCGGTTTCCGTGATCTTCCGAGGTAACTCTGGTTTAAAGTATTTAGGAGGAGGAGATATTAGTTTCCGGGTTCTTAGCATTTCTTTTGTTGAGTTTTTATTACCTGCTGACAAAAACATTCCATGCTTACCTGCTCTTCATAGATACCTAAAAATAAGATGCCAGGAATAGGTTACTGCGATCTAGAGGATATCTAGAGGATATGCGTATCCGGATATAAGTAGTGAGAGCCAAGAGGTTGGATAACTTTTGATCGGTATTTGGTACGGTAAATCATCACAATTCCATTTTGGTAATATAAGGTATTTTCAACTTTACGTTCAAACAATCGAAATTTTAAATCGGATAAGATTAGTAACTTGAGATTTAGATAAAATCACGTGGTCAACTCGAAATCACTGATAACAAGTCGGAATTTGATCTTTACTTTTACTTTCGTCTCGTAGTCAGCTCATCACCAGACATAAAATTAACACCACCAATTCCACATAATGTTTTCAAGGAGGGAGAGGCAGCACGCAAGTGTTAATGACCTTACTAGAGTTACTCCTCCGAATACATAAAACCTTGTTGTAAGACGTCTTGACGCGGCGCTGGCAAAGTTCCAGCTGCTCGCTGGCTGCAGTCTAACAAACCTCAAGTTAACAGCTTTTGGGATGTTTAAAACAGACATTTGCATTTTACTGAACCATCTGTAGTATACTTTACCCGGATTTGAACCGGAAGTGAAACTAGAAGTAGATAAAAGCGATCACGTAGACAATAGACATTACATGAGTCACTTCAAACGTATTCGGTTAATTAAACTGATGGTTGTCAGTGGTTTTGCGAGCAATTTCGCAACCTTTTTAGCAACGCCCAGCAATGATGTATGGTAAACTTATGAAATATAAAAACACATGATCTTACTTGCACGGATAACACAAGGATATGAGATTTAAATAACACAAGGGTATAAGATTTGAGAGAAATTTTCGAAATTGTTTTATACCCAGGGTCTCACGGGAACGCACCTGGGCAACAAAGGATATTAATTAAACTTGTGCGAGATTTTATTACTAATAGAAATCAGAAAATCATGGAAGTGGTACAAATACTTCCACACTGAAATGACCATGATTTATCTGACGTGATTATAATATAATCACGTCAGATAAATCATGGCCTATAAATATAATTTATAATATATATTTGAGTGTAGCGCGAATACCAGAAAACTAGGTCGAATCATTAGTTTTTAATTAGGACTTGTCAAATCGTCATCAATAACAATTTAAAAGTCGCATTACGTGATGTGCATTGCTACGAGGTTTAATTTTGTTAAAGTACTCTCACAACAAAGATATAAATTATCAAGAGGCCCAGTATGACATAGTAATAAACCGCGTAGCTTGTGTTAAAAAATCCTCAATTTCAGGTAAATCAGCTGAGACAGAAGACGAAAGCACTTCAGCGTAGCATGACAGACGAAAAGAAGAAGAGAAGGAAGCGGCCCACGCGGGAGAATTCTATGAACAAGGATAGAAACCAAGTCACAGCGGCACCACCGCCAGCCGCCCCAAATGCACCAACTGCCCCGGCGGCGCCGCCTGCTCCGACTGCACCCAAAGCACCACCAGCCCCGGCCGTGAGTTGTTCTTTTTATTTTTTCGTCGTCCTAGTTAGATTTTTTTTTCGAGGACCTAGTTAGATTATTCAGTATGCTGGACAAGTAAAAATTAGCATATAACCATATACATAAAACAAATTAAATCATACAAAGTACAAACATTTGGTAAAAACTGGTAAATATTTGTCTGAATAAATATGGCAATATGGTCCTAAGTGAGTAAGTGATAGTCACGCACAAATAAATTAAAACCTTAATTCGAATCTAATTAATTTGACTGCCACCACAACCCTTTTAAAACTGTAACAATTTGTAAAAATACAAACAAAATCTTTAACGAAAGAAAACAGCATTCCTTGCTTGACGATGCTATACAAATAACAAGTAACACCGTTTTAAATTGAGCAGCAATTAATTACAGTCTATATCATTTGACATGTAGCACGGCTACTGAAACGCGCACATAACCGGAAATCAAGGAACACAGCTTCCGGTTCGTGTAATCGTATTACACAATCACAGTTACACGGCCTTGTCATTATTCGGCCGAGGATTCGGCCTCACTTCTGCACATCAACAACAGGAAGCGGCAGTGTTTTATCTCCGAGAGAATATGTCGTCATGTTGAAAATATCTAGAAGGTTCTGTAGACGGTGAAACTGACAGCCGTCTCAGATAACGCAGACAGAAACAGGAAATATTGCTACATTCTCTGACGTGTCTTATCAAATCTGCGTCAAAGAAATTACAAGATCAATAAATGAAAATCATGGTCCGTTATAAATCAGCTGTCCGTTATATTATATCAACTGTTGTGTCCAGCTGCATATGTTCTTAATTGAGGCTGTCAAGACGACAATATCAGTCCAAATTCAAAAATCCCTGCAGAATGGTTGTATTCCTCATCTGTTACCACTGAGACAACAGTTTGTGAAATGTGACTACAGTCTGTGACTACTGCACGTATAAACTAGCAGCGAACACAATATCTCGTTTAATAGTAAGAGATGCTCGCTCCATCTTTGACTCGAAGTCCACGTCCCCTACGATCCTAGCCACGTCCTTAATGCACCGCAAAACCTCGTCTAGTCTTGTTATACACCTGGGATTGGAACTGTTTAATATCTTGGCTCTCAGATTAAACAAAAAGTAGTGCTAAGGTAGTGCTAGATATTTTGCGAAACATTTCGTTCTCTATCGCTATGACAGTGATAAGGGGATATCACGACAGTTCAAGTGTCGCTACATTCTGGAGATATGAGCTTGCTCAGCAAGTTGGAACACATTCTCATGAAACATAAAAGATCCACGGCTTATTCGCCAGTATCCGAATATTGGCTACAATGTTTCAAGCATTAATTAATAGTGTTTGTAATTGTTATGACACGGCTGTTCGTGTCGTGACGCAGACAAGGCCCTACTCAAGGAGCTATTTCGATGACCCCCTTATCTCAACATCTACAGGCAACCAAAATGTTTCATTTAACAACTTGTCAGACATCATAATCACCGCTATATTTTCCGTTGACAACTTACTGATTTCCAATTTATGATAAATGATAACTTCGTGTTAAATTCCGAAAGATTACGTCACTTACAACCATAGAGTGGTAGAATTGTGACAAACTAAACTTGGAAATTATGGCTACCATAAAGTTTCACAACTGTTTGTGACAAATGATTATTAAATTATAAGTGAAAGTGAAATTCCCTTACCTGACGATAGTGCCTTCGTCCACGTCAGTGTACTGCATGATAGCTTGGAACTCTTCTCCTTTAGCCCACCTGTACACCACTTCCACTAGCCCGAACCTGTTGAAGAGTAGCTTGTCACGTGGTATTGTGACGTCACGTTACGTGTACGTATTGACGATATATGACATGTCACGTGGCCTAGTGGTCACGTAATGATATCATGACGTCACGTTGTGTTATGAAAGCGTCACATAAGCTTATATCTGACAAAAAGTACTTAGTAAAGTATGCATGATTGGAAGATTATCGTTTTCTTCTTTTAATAGGTGAAAGATGAGTTAAAATCGTCATCCTACGTCATTCACAGACACTCACTTCAAGTTAAAATAACAACGTTTGAGTAGAAATTTCCGAAATTAAGTTAGAACACTTAAGTAAGCTTTAAACGGCAGGTTTCATACTGCGATAACGTCATACTTTATAAATCATGAGGTCATGGTAAGTATAGTTTGTTTATCAAGTTGAAGCAACAATATTCTGTGATGATTCCAGGGATAATATCCGGTAGTAGAGACTAGGTAGGACAAGTGAAACTACTGTTTAGGATAGACCTAGGATAGACCACTTGTTCTACCTAGTCTCTACTACCGGATATTATCCCTGGAATCATTATCTTATCATGAGACTGATAAACAGCGAACCTCTCCAGGATCTCAATATTCTGTGAGTTGCAAAGAAATTGTAGGACAATGAATCACTATCCATCCCTTTCACGAGAATTATTACTGCCACAAAATTAATTGAAGTTGACAACAGCTAATTATATGTGAACGTATAAGTAACAATGAAATGTGTGTTCTAGGCGTCGCTGAGACGGCATGATGCTATGCGACTAATAACAGTCGTAACAAAATTTTGAAATAGCTAGCTAGCTGTAGATATGCGCCTGTTTCCACTCTTACAACTCAGAAAGTGCATTAATATGATAATTTCAACTTTACAATCCTAAAGGCAACTTTAACTGTGCTCAGCTATACTTGTTAAATAAGCTCCATTTTAATAGTTTCAACAATATCTAATCTTGTGTGAGTTTTTGACTTTTAATAGAAAATACTTATTATATATATTTTTGAGTAAACATTGGCTGGTACTTCGGGCCGGTCCCCAACAAAAAAAGAGAATTTTCTCTAGCCGAAAGTGATATCATCCAATTCCTCAGAAATGATGTCAACTCTTGTTGGGGGAAGTGTCATCGATACCTTTACTATTCATTTTTGGGGATTTCTCGTATAAATATCCAACATTTTGAGGGAAATGGCAATGATCTCTTCAATGTTTTGTGGCAGACAGCAAGTAAGTAAAGTCACGGAAACATACCTGAATTGCTCCTCAAAGTCCGCGTCATTCGGTCTCAGTTTCTCAGCGACCTCAGCTTCAACTATCTTGTGAGCCAAAGTTAGGAACTGTTTCTTAGCTGCTTCTAGTTCCGGGGTCAGATCAGGATCACTGCACCTCTTCTGTTGGAATACCTGGCCATCGGGGCTTTAACAACTTTTCATTGATTATTTTGAGAAATTCGCAAATTAAATTCGTGTTAGTTAGCATTCGTTATTCTAAGATACAATGAAAAATAACTAACCATGCAAGACAGGATGGCAACTATAGCCTCAATTTCAAGGTCTTTGAAGAAGTTATCGAATACCAGCTCTGTGATAACCAGTTCCGAGGTGCTCATTGCACAGGCTGCTTTCCCTGCAATGTGGTTCTATTATGAAGGATTAATGGTGGGAGAGGCCAGCCGCTTTTTCAATATATATCTTCATATTGATGGCATTTAATTTAATTGGTTCACAGTTAAAACCAGTAGATGTAGGACGTTTTTCGAAGATAAGAGGAGTCCGCAATCCGTATGTTTAACTTCTGAAGCAAACCTTTGAGTTTAAGTTGGTCCTCGTTGCCCAGATACCGGAGTCTCTTTAAGACTCGGACTCGCAATTCAAACTCAGGCATAAACTGAAGAGACTGGTAGGATAGAGAGTACGCTATACGCTCTAACTCCCTCTTTATCCACATCATCTCGCTGTAATAGTGACACTTGTTATTTGAAATTTGAACACATGTCTATAATCAGACTTCTCCTTCTGAGAGCAATATTTGATGAAGCTACTTACTTTGAAATCACACAAAGGGGGTGATAGCCGAGGGGGCGAGGAGGGGGGGTGGGTGTTGGGAAGCTATTTCTTTATTACCTGGTCTGTTTAAAGTGAGCATCAAACGTGTTACATTTAGAGCAGGAATAGTTAGCCATAGCACTGCGTTGCTTCATTATGTTACCCAACAAATCAACTCCGTCCATATCTTTCACTTCATAGTTCAGTTCCGTTGGTTTCTTGTTCTGGAAGATTATTGGTCAAGCTAAGAGTTACGGGCAATACAACACAATATTAGTAAAAACCTATTCGAAATTTCTAAAAGCTGTTCCATGCAATGTTTTACACTGAAAACTGTACAGTTATCTTATGACTTACATAGCCGTGCATCATCTCCCTCGCTAGAGCGTCAATAGGAGTCCTGTCCCAGTTCCTCGGATTGAACCTCATATGTTGCAGGTTCCTCTTGATTGCTTCCATATCTGTAGTTACCTGTTGCAACACACGTTTTAAATCTCCTTATTTAGAATAACTATCTACTCAATCTTGAGGTTTTTTTGGGGGGGGGGGGGGGGGGGCCAACCATATTAAAGTATATTAAAATGTAGGATTTTTCCCGATTTTGACCCGGGGATATACTTCAATATACCTACAATATACTGTAATATATCCCTATCTCCTTGGAGGCCTACGTCAAAAATTGTTGCCCAAAATAAGCTTGAAATGCAATTCTTAATCGATTCCAAAAAGTTCTTGAAAAAATATTGAAAACTGATGGAGTTATTTCAATTTTAATGAAGTCATTTTGGCTAGTATTCCGAACCGAGATATTATGTGCAATTTTCCCAATTTTGTTCATGGAGGTCTTTTTACTTAGTATCCACTATATTCAACAAACACTGAGTTATATCTTTCACATAGAGTTAGTCTCATTAAAAAATATTGAAATTTTATCGAATTTGGGCAAAAGCGAATTTGGGTAAAAGCGTATGCCCAAATATGGGCATATTTTTTAAAGCTCATAGCTCAGCCAATTTTTGACCAATCTGGATGGAAATTTATGTACTAGTCCTAAAACAGGCTTATCTTGCGAATCTGAGTGAAAAATATAGTTCATCATGTAAATCTTAACGAAGAATATAAATCTTCTAATTGTAGGTATATTAAAGTATATTAAAATGTAGGATTTTTTCCGATTTTGACCCGGGGATATACTTTAATATACTTTAATATGGTTGCCCCCCCCCCCCCCCCCCCCCCCCCCTTTTCACGTTTTTGCATCAATTTTCACGTTCTGAGGAATTAAAAACCCCTTTTACCCACCTTTTGCACAAGAACACATGACAAGTCCAGTAGAGACACATTACACACGGTGAAATCAGGATCATCTTGGGAGTCAGGTTTAATAGCGTCACCAACTGATCGGTTGTTTACTCCGGGTGATACTTGCAGTGCTATCACTGTCCTCTCCCACGACTCTTTAGCTGCAGGGTTAGGGGTTTTAATTGGGGAAACAGACTTGGAAATCTGCTTGACTCCTAACAAAACCAACCTTTTCTGAGAACGAGTTAGTCCGGATTTTGATGCAGTATTCCAAGTCAAATAATTGGTTGTTGAAACTTATGCTGATGAGAATAAAATAAATAAAAAATATCCCGTTTGCTCACTTGAACTGAGATCCAATCCACTACTGTACCCGGTGGAATGAAGTACTATCACTTTTAGTTCCCTGATATCCTTCCTGAGTAGTAATTAAGTGTTAAATGTAAGGTTACCTCACTTTAACAGGTAAGCATCAAGGCTTGTTGCACTTTCTAGGCGCTAGAAAACAGGGTCGTTCACAGGTCCGTATATAGCCGATTTTGCAGATTTAAGTTAGGGAAAAACCAGCGGACCTAGCGGCAATATCGGATAGCTAGTGGAAAATAACGGATGTCCTACGGAAGCTAGCGGATGCCTAGCGGACATCTAACGCGCGCAATTTTGCCGCGCAGCGTTATTACCTAGCGGAAGACAGCGGATAGCTAGCGGAAGTTAGCGGGATCTAGCGGTGTACCATTTTAGTTAATAATCGGTCTGCAATCCATTTAGCTCAGCTGCAACCATTAGACCTCAAATTTATTCATGTTATGCATAGAATGATTAAACCGCACATGATGTACATTTATACAAAAATATGTTACGTAATGTTGTCGATTAATCAACTTTTGAGTTATTTCATAAACAGTGTCATGCGGAGAAGCTGAACTACACTGGTTTGTCACCACCAGTGTTGCAGTATTGTACAGGTTACGAAACGACCTCAATGCATGTTATAATTCCATGATGCTGTATATTAATATATGGTATTATAATGTAGCGTATTGGTACGTCATCAATTAGATTACAGCTCACGATACGTACGTACGTGCGCGTCTATTCTGTTGCGCAACAAACTGAAATATCTTTCTTTTCATATTAGAGGTTTATCGCGTCAGACAACTAACACTGCGTGGGACTGTGACTCATATAGCGTTACACATATTTTAGACTGTCATTTAATGCGATATAATTCTAGTTCGTTTATGAGTGCATTGCTTTATGTAATTACTGTCGGAGTTGCTGTTTGAGTTTTGGGTAGGGTGACAAGTAAAACAAGTGATTGGATAGCTCCTACCTAAACTATTCTTGGGTTAGTACTGGAGGTGGTTTTTTTTACTTTTTTTGCTATTGTATCCGACCTCAGTCTTATAATGCTATCGGATGTGACCTTGGTCACGGCTCTTAATATACTGTCCTTATCTGAGGACTTATTAAAAAATCGCTGCCTCACTGCTTTCACCAGTTTGTGGGAGGCCTCGCCACCTTGTTCTGACCCGATTCCCATCGACCAACCCAACTTTCGTAATTGGGGAATCACGTGGTCTTCAAGCATGTGGATCTTTGGCGGAACAGTCTTGAAGTATTTCCGATATTCTATTAGGAAACCGGCAATTTCCTTGTCCAGCTCATCGATTGCCTCCTTCGTTAACCTGAATTTGGTGAAGTTAAGACTGATTAAGTGGGTATATTCGATAGCTTACATTTGCAGTACTTTAACTTTGAATAATAATGCATAGATATCGTAGATATAGTAAATACCTATTCGTGTTTCCTAAGTTAGTCATTAGTGGACCGTAGATTTTCATCAGTGAGATGACATCTGCTATCTCTTTCTTGAGTAGCTTCTGTTCGTCATGCTCAAAGCTGTAGTTGTAACTTTATTATAAACTGAGTATTGGATACTTTAGTATTAATAATTTGAATGGAAATGTGGACGAAATGTGTACGATTAAACTTTATGTACTCACATTTCTAAAGCCAAAATTTCAATCCACAGCGGAACAAGCTTGTGGTATCGTGTAACGAGGTTGTGAGCGTCGTTACCGTTCAATGTGCTCCCTCCAAAGTGAGCTTGTGGTGAACAGCCTGATTTAAGGTAATAAGTGTTAAGTTACTTGAATTATGATCGTTACAATTCACATAAAATTGGTGACTTATTTAATACTGAAATTAATGCATTATAATATGAATACAAGTGTACTTAGTGACCTATTTTCGAGCAGGCTTTCTCGTATCTGTACTGATAAGGACCACACGTTACCTCCTCAGGATCAAGTGTACCAGACCTACATGCTTCAACAGATTTGGAGAAGTCTGTGTCTGGCAAAACAGTTATTCCTTGAAAGGAGGAACCGCTGGCCATGCTTTGGACAACTGCCAAGTCTACCTTTTGACATATCCTCATACCGTTCTTGTAGATGTCCTGACCTACTCTCAGATTCTGAAACAACAGTGTTATTTAGTACCTCATGGGATAGTTAATCGAGAAAAAATCTTGTTTTAGATATAGGTTAAATTGTTTGATTTATCAATTAATACTTACTATGTGGACGATGGGGACCAGTATCCAATCCAGGATTGGGGCATCGTTGTCATTGTTCAACGCATTGTTCAGTTTTGGTTCGTCGATCACGTTGAAGAACTCCCGTTGAGTTTTCCTATTTAAACCAGTTTTCTGTCGGTTTAATGCGTACAGCTGCTTGGTTCCACCGTAGCATCGTTCCGGTCTAAATCCTGTAATTGGATAGTAGTCAGAGGGTGAATTGAGATATGGAGAATGTTCGTGGAAACTGATTTAAATAGGAATGAGATGATTTCAAGTTTCTAACCTCTCCGGGATAGAGGTATCTGGCAGTCAGCCGTGTTTATCCTACAAAAAGGGCAAGCGTGTATGCCTGGTGATACAGGCATACCCAATATTTGCCATATTTGCTTCGTGTCTCCACAAAGCCACAAACGAATTTTGTGCTCCTCGTGTTTGTATGTGTAGACATCTAACTCCTTGTTCAAGAATGCCATCAGTTGTCCTATATTAAACTCTTTGTCAGGACACTCTGAATAAACTAGCAGCAAATGCTTATAATCAGAATTTGCCAGTTTCTGATTTATAACATTTACCGAGATCTTGGTATTAATAGAATCGGCATCTATAAATACTTTCACCCATATCTGAAATAAATAGCACTGTTATAATGACATTTGGAGCTCCACATTATGTTTAAATTAATTGATTTACAACATTGAGCAGCTGCATCAAATTATGGCATACCTTGCCGTCGGTGAACATTTGCGGCTGCAGAAGTTGGTAAAGTTCCAGTTTACTCATAACTGTCTTTACCAACGACTGCAGACTAGTGTAGACAACTGGTGTGTCTGCTCTTAGTACACGATCCCCAGCCTTTTTATCTGATTTGCAGTTGGAGTTTGCCCTGAACTCCATAGGCACTTGTACAACCTCGTATTGTACCTCGTTGAGAGCTTCGAAGCATCTTACACTCTTCTCCGATGCGAATTTCTGGTTCTTCAAACGTTGACGGAGCACACGCATTTTATGCTCCGTTATATTCGCTGTGATTAAACATTTACATACATGGTATGAGTCAATTTGAAGACAATACTTGGAAATGAGACGAATTAGTATACTATTAATATTTCAATATATGAATCGTATTTACCAGCATTCATAAATTCGATTGTGTCTCCGGAGTCCATCCTTGGTCGCTTGTTTATGTTGGAGGACTCCGCAACATATTCTTTAGTCTCTTTAGACTCCAACGTCTGGAAGGACGCAGTTTCTAGGCGTCCCACGATATCTTTCAGGTCCACGTTGAAATCTTTATGAGCGTTTACCTGAGATCGAGACAGTGAATTTCAGTTCAATTAATTTAAGTAAAATTTGTATTGGGATATTTGGTAGTCTAACAAAGCCAGATTTTAAGAAATCAATCAATCACTCAATCAACCTGCAGTGACGTTATCTTTCTGTGAGCGTGGTGAAGCTTCCTCCTAACTGCCTGGTCAGGGTTTTCAACAACCTTTGCAGGTATTTGCGTTCGTACGTAAGTCTGAGGCTTACCCCCGGTCTTAAATGTAAGCACATCCTTATCTACGGCATGGTGTTGTACCCTTTTCAGAATGTAGCTGAAAGGAAAGTATCATTTAATTATAATTCCTCTACACTGAAGGGAACACTAACTTATGCCAAATCTATAATAATATAACTGTGTACCTTGCAACTGTCCAGAATTTTTCATCCAGTTTACTCTCTATCGGGGTACTCAAGAACTCTCCTACCGTAACTCCCAATTCGTAGGAAAACTCCCCATATAGTTTAATATGGTTCTTTACAGTTTTCTTTGCTAAGCTATTTGCAGACTTGCAGCGGTTACAGGGACAAGGTTCCTTTTCTGTTTCCATGCTATTTGGAACGACACATCAATTTTAAATATTAGCTATTTCAGTACATTACACAATACATATTGCAAAGTCACTTTATATTTACAACAAAACAGATGTCACCACTATTTTCACTGCATGCATTAGAAAACTACAAGTACAAAATATGTAATATGTATATACATTAACAAACCAGATTTACATTTTACAAATACCATTACAAATGTGTATGTACAATAATGTTTATTCAAATAAACGTGCATCATATTTCATTACTAAATGATCTAACAGACTGTGTCCTTCTAAATTTGGCCACAGCCATGTTCAGCTCCTCTTCCTCCTCGTCGCTGAAAATATGTACTGTTAGAACAGTAATTGATTTATACAATGTGTTGAATGCTAAAAAATGATGCACTGATTGGATACTAGTTCTCATTACCATTGGATTTAACCATAAATGCTACTGTTATTTTGTAATGATGATTCATTCTACTTACTATAACATTCTGAGTCTCTCGTTGAGACAGTCCCGCTGCTCCTCCATCGCTTTAGCAGCGCTAATCCTATTAGTGAGTTTCCTCTTAAGGATTCTTTTGGCGTTCTGCTTTCGCCCACTCTCCTTTGCTGCTGTCCGCCTAACAATCTCGTCAAGTTGGAGACGAGTTATTGATCTTCCTTTTCTGTCTGTGAGGAGATCAATTGTCAGTTATCCATACTTGAAATTAATAAATTTGTAGAAAAATAACACTACAGCTTTTTATATCTTACCAGCGATGTATTTGTCCACCACATGAGGTAACACTGTGGTGTTCGTCGAGCCCACCGTCGCTAGGGCATTCGTCATATCGCTGAGAAATATCCCAGTCAACTCTTCAAAATTGTAATTTATTTGAAAGTTTGTTTGTGGTATGCAATACACGTTATAGTTTTTTTATAAATGAAGCCGAGTCTTACTTTTCATTGACAACCATGATAATGATAATTACCTCCAGATGAGTTTATCTGAATACGACACCTTCAGGGGGTTCGTTTTCACTCCCTTGAAGACAGATTTCCCATCAAGGAGTGTCTGGTAAGTATTCTTGACGCCACAGAAAAACATTTCAAAATCCACTGTGTGCGGAAATATCGGCACCTCAATGTCGATGATGGGTGCCAATTGTTCTGAGGTACCCACTCTGATAATATGAACATTCAACATGGTGAGAGCACACATCAGTTTGGAGACTTATAAATAGTTTTCATGTCTACGTACATACAATATAACGACTAATGAGAACTGTGTTATTTTAAGTTTGATTCTAGCAAATCCGTACAAATAAAAACTAACATTTCTTGTGGCGGCTGTGGTGTAGGAGTGGATGGGTTAGGTGATCGAGGGGGAGGCGTTGCGGATTCGTTCCGTACTCTGATGATATAAAAATGGTAACACTTATAGACAACAATTTGGCAACTTTTACAAAACTTTCAATTTACATCCACATAACATTTCCTCACCTCCTAAGATATTCAATGTACTCTTCCTGATCTGGCGGAGGAACTACTGTGGTCGGCGTCATTGTTCTTTTGTACTTCCTTTTAGACGGTCTAGAGGGAAAAATACAGTTCACTAATGAAGTATTAATGAACGGACTAATTTACTGATTTGATTATATGTTTTATCAGGAGTTTATGCTAAATTTTACTCACATCGATGTTTCAAGTGGTTCGTTATCTTCAATTTTTTTCATAAGCTCTTTCGTTATTTTATCCATGAAAGACATTCTAGATTGTAGAAAGTTACTAACAACTTATTTTATTCAAGCACAACGAAATTATTTCAAATTCTCTAAACTGGTACAAAAGTTTTAAAAGTTCTGCACATGCAACGCAGGGACTTATCCGACCAAGTTTTTGTAAACTATCACGTAGAGTGGGGAAATTAAAAAGCGGAATAAAAATCTAACTCTAAGTTAACGATAAACTGCTACAGAAATCAAAAGTTCGAACACCGAGTCTAGGAAATAGCTGTGAACCAAATAAACAGAATGGCACCTGTGCATGATGTGTTGTTTTTATACCGTTCTAGGATGCCTCCGCAAACTTTCGCTCCTTTGTTATGCACGTGTTAGTATCTAGGATGCCTCCGCAAACTTTTGCTCCTTTGTAATGCACGTGTTAGTATTATTTATTTATTTCTTTATTTATTGAGAGCTAGGCTCGCTGAGAGATTCTTTAGTTGTTTACTCCGCAATCATTTCTCGCGACGCGATATAAAATTCTTTTGCTTGACTTGCGCGGCTTACCCAAATATATTAGTATTCAAAACTTGATACAATAAATAGGCTTTAAAGCTAAAATAGTTGTTGAATTAATTTTTTGATATTGCATTTTGTAGAAGAATTAAACAATGTTTTTTTTCCCCTGAATTTATGAGTATTGTAAAATATATGTTTAAAATGAACACCGCTATTCGCCGCTAGTTTGCGCGCGTCGTCCGCTTTACTCCGCTAGCCATCCGCTAGGTAAAAATGCAGCATTTTAGCGCGTCTCCGCTAGGCGCACGCCATCTTCCGCTAGTCATCCGCTAGTTTCCGATATATATCCGCTATAATCCGATAGCTGACCGCTGGTTTTTCCCTAACTTAAATCAGGCAATACGGACCTGTGCGTTATAAAGGCTTAAAGGAAATGAATCATAATAATGAGAAAATGTAACAAAACGATGGAATCTAAGCTGTTCTGAGGAATGTATAGGTAATATAACTAGGGTAACTAACTTGTCATCAACATTCGGATTAACGATAGTAGCCAGATGAAAGGGAAACTTTGGAGTGCTGATGATTACAACCCTTCCCGGATGCAATGATTTACTCGCTTTTGCTGTGTTCAGTATACGGTGTTTGAAATCAGTCTCCAGTTCCATCTGAAAGGAAATGAGGCTTTAAAGATATAAAACTGCATCAGTCTTACGATGTTTTGATTTTCTGACTAGAGAAGCAGATTGTATATAAGAAGGCTTCTAGCTTTATGAATCAGCGATAAGTGTTAAGTTTTCACCATGATTATCCCGTCCATGTAATACTGCTCTATGTTTTTGCAGACTTGACAGGATACAGGCTTAAGTCCTTCTAACTTCTTTTCTAACCCCTTCCTGTCACGTTTATAGTCACGCGCCTTCACCTGATGTGATGTCAGTAATTTAGTTTAACTAAATTACTGTAATACACAAAAAAACGGAACTAAATTGTAAGACGCGAAGTTACAAAATTGATCATTGAAATACATTTGACAGTGAAACTTTGCACGTTAAACCGAACAGACGAAGTCATCGAATTTTAACGGTTCGAAATTACAATTCCACTCTCCTTAATTCCTCTCAAAATCACACAATATGTACTTCCTTATCAAACGCACTTACCTGCTCTTCGTATTCAGCGAAACTTCTTTTTAACAACTCTTCAACTTTCAGATCTTTACCCTTTAGAACACTCAGTATCATGTTGTATGTAGGTTTAAATTGCGAAGACAGATCTATCGCTTTGCCCTGAATAATCAAGATTTAGGTGTTATTTCTTTCCACCTGTGACTTATGTCGTAATTTTGGAGGTCTCCCAAAACTTATGCAACTGGGGAAAGTTTGAGATCCAAAAAGACGTAAAACTCGTGCGTGCGCGCGGCAATGTCAATATTACAAGCACCGCGTCTGACGCGAAATATTTAAGAAGACCCTTTTGCGAAACACACGTCAGAATGACTCACCTGAACCATGCTGATAAGATCTGAGTAGTCAGGCAATTTTCCTTTGCACAATATAATAACTGTCCCTGTCTCATCTTTACCACGCCTGCCTGCTCTTCCAGCCATCTGTATGTACTCGCTTGTTGTAAGCAATCTTTTGCAGTTGCCATCAAACTTTTCAGTAGCATCAAATACCACAGTACGGGTAGGCATATTGATACCCATAGCAAATGTCTCCGTTGCTAGCAACAGTTTTATCAGACCCTTTTCAAATAACATTTCAGTGACTTCTTTCATTAAGGGCAGCACGCCTGAGTGATGCACTGCTATACCTGTAAATATTACAGTGATCAACTGAAAGCGCTTTTGGGATGAAATAGCTCCTTTCTTAGCCTCTACCATCCAGTGGGGACAATGTGTGGGTTACATTTGGAAAGTCATAATAAATACCATACATTATACATACCTCTTATCATGAGCTCTTTAAGGAACACTATCTGTGGTAGGTCCCGATCAGTACCCTTCAATCTTCCCACACACTTTGTAATGAACTCTCTGATAAGCCCCTTTTCCTTGTTAATGGTCAGGTCCAACGCTGTCAAACCTTCTGCTAATTCATTGATTCTTGCTTTAGATAAGATGAAGATAACACAAGGAAGGAGGTTTTCTCGTTCCAGCATCCGCACAAAAGAGAGAATTGTGTTCCGTTCTGCTTGCTTGCCAGGCCGTTGGTTGCCGTCTTTCTTTGTCTTTTTACGTGCTGCCAGAGCTGACTGCAGAGAAAGGAACAATGTTTTCAATTTCCGGAAAGTTTATGTGGTACTAGATGATTTAAAGAATAATATTTAAGCTGCTTAACTTTAAATGGGAAATGTTTTAAATAATAAAATACCTTAGCCTTCTCAAACTCCGAAGTTTTAAAGTTCTTATCGTTAGCCGCAATAATCTTAAACAGTTCCTTGCTTGTCTTATCACTGTTCCCAGTGTAAAGATGATGCTCCAATGGTACTGGTCGACGTGGTGTCTTAACCACATACACCTGTTTACGTTTAGTGTTCCCGACCCACTCTGCGAAGTCTGTGACGTTAGCTACAGTTGCGGAAAGGAGGATCACTGACACGTGTTCTGGGAGCATGATCAGAACTTCTTCCCAGACTACTCCACGTTCTATATCGTTTATATAGTGCACCTGTCAGATTAAACTGTTAGATTATAAAGTGTTATCTGTTTGATGGTCTGTAATATTATGTAATTAGTATTTGACCTCGACATTAAAGGATTTCCCGACACAAAGTTACAATATAAGACTATAATAAAAATCTTAAAGCCCGAACATATACCTCATCGAATATGACCCACTCAAGGTCTCTTGTAATGTCAGAACCGTTATACAGCATTGATCTCAATATCTCGGTAGTCATGATAAGACACGATGCTTTGGTGTTTATCTGTATATCTCCCGTTAACAGGCCTACTTCTCCGAACTTCTCCTTAAAGTCCCTGTAGTATTAAAAGTTTAATTACCCTAATCACGCCACTCTTAGGTGGTAAAACTGATTATTTAAAATTGAAGGGACTAAGCCTTTAAGTGAGCACTGATAAAATCATAGAAGTATAAATCAAGAGGCTTGCATATAATAAACATATTGACACGGGTGCAGAGTTGAGTCTGTACGGAACCTAGTAGTTTCAGTTCCTTGTTTAACTTGCCGTACAGCAAGGACATCCACTACTTTAGCCCGGCGAGGCACATATCTCACTCTACAACTCCATGTTCTAAACCAGGGGTCTATTTATTCATACTTTAAGCACACCTCAAACTTTCTTTTGCTGAGAATATAAACTATGTATCATTTGTGATGTAGTATGCATTGCAACAGTATTTGAAGTGATCAGTACCTGAACTTCTGGTTGGAAAGAGCTTTGATAGGTGCTGTGTAGATCACCTTAGTCATGTGATGGTTGGACAGGGCGATAGCGTACTCAGCTACCACAGTTTTACCTGCTGAAGTGTGAGCCGCCACCATCACGTTATCGTGGGAGTGTAGCTTTAAAATAGCCTGGGATAAATGTTATTTTTATTAGCTTGTTGCAAGAGTTATTCCAAGCTTCTTGAAAGTTTTGTTCTGTGCAAGTTATATTTGAACGTTTAAAGCCAGAAGTCAGACCGTTATCTGAAAGTAATCACAGATTAATGCTGATTTCCAGGATCGAACTCCAACACTAATAGATTAGATTACACAGCATTATGTGTATCTACCTGTTTCTGGAAGGGGTCTAACTCGAAAGGGAACTGATAAGCGAGATTTCCAATCTGTGTGTAGAAGTCAGGTACCTCCGACTCAGCATCAAGCTCAATAGCCCACTGGAACTTGCCACCTGGTGCTCCTGATGTTTCATCCTCATCTGTATCACTGTCATCTGAAACATCACCTGTTTATAACCTTTAACACCACACATCATATAATACTGATTCTCAAAGCTTTCGTAGATACAATGATAGGGGGGAGCCAAGGGGTATTGAAGTAATTTTGGGGTATTTTGGGGAATGTCTTAGTGGAATGTGGAAATCCCCCATAATAGAGTCCCCCATTATACCCCTTTGCTTCCCCCAATGATAGCACATCCGAATAAATACCACAGTACTGATAATTAATCTGGCTACCTTCTGTAACTGATTTATGTTTCGTGCTGTCTTTCTTTCTGCTGATCTGGTTTTCTGCTCTAATATAGCTTCATCTAACTTCGTAATGAGCTCCTGAAGATTTAAAAAAACGTGTAAAGGTGTAACTATTTTATAATCTTCTCCATCCACCATTTAGCACTAAACAATAAATCAACTAAAAGTAAAACGGTTCCTGTTTATCATCTGTACCGTACCTGAATGTTCTTAGGTTCGTCTTCAATTGTAGCTAGATTGTCTTGTACAAACTCCATACCAGTCTCAAATCCAGGTGGAATTTTGAGGAGATTGTTCACGAAATCAACAGTTTCTTCAACGTCCTGAACATAGTAAAAGATTACCATTCGACGGGATGAACCGTATTATAAAATCATCGAATTATGTACCAATTATTTGAGCTTTAAAACTACTTGATCAGTCAATTAACTATGTGATTAAGATGTCAATTAGCTAAGATAACGATTAACAGCAAAGTACCCACCTCTTCCTCCTCCTCCTCACTGTCACTAAAACCCCCTGGCCAAAACGACCGCCCCATCGCGGACCCTTTAGCATCCCCACTCTCAGGTGCTGGGGCACGTGACACAAAACTGCGGACTGATTTATCTGTGTTTTCCTCGACATTCTTCAGTACCTCTTTGTGGTACAGAAAGTCGCCCGTGCGCTGATCACGTACACACTCCAATGTGAAGGGGTCATTGTGCGCAGGCGCGTTTAGCAAGGATGTGAAGTCAGGGGTGAACTTGCCGATGTAAGCGTCCCGTTTGAAGGAAGGGAGAGATTCTACATCTGTGGTGTGATGTGTAACTATGTCCTCCCAGTGTTGCAGTGAGAATAAAGGATTCCAACCATTCCCTGATTCTGACATCATACACGTTACACTACAATACCTACATTGGATTGAAATTAAATAAATTATATCTTTATAACAAAATCACATGAGTCATTCCAAGAAGTTTTAATTTAACATCAAATATATAGTAGTAGTAGTAAATCTTTCAAAGTACGAAATATCTCTTTAAAAGAGCATCCTAGGCACCTTATAGATATCAAAACGCATAAAAAAGAAAACAAAAACATCAACCATCTTCTAACTTCTTCCACTCCTCCCTATCTAAAGCTAAAAATCTAAGGTCTTCGAAATCAGTCAAATTCTTAAGTCTAATATCAAGATTTCTACTAGTCAAGTCTTTTCTAATAACATCTAATAAGTTTAAACATGGTCTACCCCGTCTCCCTTCCATAAAAATATCAGAATTTATAGCAAATAACATAGAGGTGTATGCTGGTGAGTCTTCCTGTCCTCTTAAGATATGTCCTAACATTCTCCATCGAAACTTAGAGACTCTCACAGACAAGGGAGTGACATAACAACGAGCATAGAGTGCCTCATTAGAAATAACCCCAGTAGGCCATCTGATGTTGAGGATTCTTCGGAGGTGTTTGCGATGAGCAATATCAAGTTCATTCAACGAAGCTAGTGGTGCAGCCCAGGAGTTGCAGTTGTAGAGTAGAATAGAGACTACTTGTGCCTCGTAGATTTTGATCTTCCTTTGGACTGAAATCTTGCTCTTCATCCAAACTTTCTGAAATTTACTAAAGGCAACATTACCAAGGAATATTCGATTCTTGATATCCTTAACAGTGCACATCAACGATCCTAAAGTTTTGTTAGAGCGCCACTCTTCATCACCTCTATACACTTTTCCAACGATCACCTTGCGTTTAACAGTGGGTTTAGGATCTGCTAAATAAAAATGGACAAATTCAGTCTTGGAAGAATTGATATGAAGGTCCCACTGCTGGAATATATCTTTAGCGATAGGAAGCATTTCTTTGAGTGGAGCAAGTTCAGTGTTATTAAAGTCAATATCATCAGAATATCCTGTTTCGAGTGGCATGAATTCTTCTGAGATAGGAGGATTAGGGATTGGATGATTCACTGGGTAAGGTGTTGATGATACTTGGGAGAGTACAGATCTGAGGTGAATAAGTGCAGCGGCTTCAACAACAGTAAATAGATTACCTGATAGTGCATCTCCTTGAAATGCTCCAGTTGTGCTTTGGAACTCAATTGATACAGTATTATTGACTTTTACTTTCAACACTGTGTTTGATAGTAGGAGCCGTACCATCCTAATTTCATCACTAGTACAGCCAGCATCTTCAAGAACATTGAGTACTGTTTCTCTGCTGATGGTGTCAAAGGCACTTGACATGTCTATACTCATTCTGTGGTAGCTCCAATGCTTTCTAAGTACCACTGAGGTTAGCATACGTTGAGACCAAATTATATCGCCACAACTTCTACCTCTCTTGTAAGCACTTTGTGTAGGACCGGTGTACTGATCTAGCTTGCCTTGGATACGTTTTAGGGTAATCATTGACAGTAATTTTCTGGAGCAGTTTGAGAGGGTGAGAGGTCTGATGTTTGCTGCTGGACCAAGTGGTTTCTTAGGCTTTTGGAGTGGAGTAATGTTGCCTTTTCCAATAGATGTTATGGTGGTGTTTGTTTCAAATGCGGTATTTATACAGTCTGCATATTTCTGAAATACACTTCTGTTTGCATACTTAATCAATTCACTTGGGATATCATCAGGCCCAGTGGCTCTACCATTCTTCAAAGCTTTAGCAGCTATCTCAACTTCAATAGCAGTAATAGGGTCAGCGAGAGGACTAGGTTGATCAAAGAAAGTGTCAATAGGCTCAACTGTATGTTTTGCAGTGAACTTCTCTTCAAAGTGGTTCTTTAGTGTAGCAGCTTTTCCAGTGTCTGTACCTATGAAGTTAGAGTTTTCATCATGCACACTTATGGTTGGAGCACGTTTGATACCTGCTAGTTGGCGAGTGGCTGCAAAGTATGCTCTAGAACTATCAGTTTCGTTTATCTCTTCAGCAAGAGTGTCTGCATGCTCTTCTTGAAGGAGCTTGATTCTCTTACGAGTGTCATTTTGAATACGATTGATTTTGGTACGTATAACTGATCTATCTTCAGAGGTGTTGTTCTGATTGAGTAGAGCTTGTAGAACTTTCTTTTCATCAGACATCTCTCGAATTTCAAGGTCATTACAAAAGTTTTTAGGGCGTTTCCTAGGAAGGTATCCAATACTAACCTCAGCAGCTTTATGTACATTGTGAAACAAACTATTCATTTCTTCCTCAGGGTTAGGATTAACAGGGCTGTCTGTTAGAATATCATTCAATGTGTTGTTGTAATGCATTTTAGCAGCAGGATTACTGACAAGGGTTGTGATATCAAAATGCATTTTAGGTTTCTGTTTGGGGAAGACAAGGTGAGCGTCACTGAAGTTGAAACGTGTAATAACAATTTTGTGATCAGATTTAACAAGAGTACCCCCGTAACTTCGAGAATTCACTAAAAGTTTCTTCAATCGACTGCTACATAGGACATAGTCAATTTGAGAGTAGTAGGGCAAAGTGCGATGTGAGTTTTTAGGAGCTGAGTAGTCTTTCATAAAACCAATTCTTGTTGTTATATGACGGACAGGGTGCTGGAAGCTAGTGTTGCAAGCAAAAAGTTTTTTATCAACAAGAAAATTAAGAAGATGCTCTCCATTTGAATTCCTCTTTCCAGACCCATACATACCCATAAAGTCATTATACCCGAAAACAATATCTGAATGAGACAATTTACCGAGTCGAGAGTTGAAATCTCCAAGAATATATAAGTCCCAACTTGATGGGATATCAACAGCTTTGCCAAGAAACTTGTAGAAATAATCACGTCTCTGCGGATACTTATCACAATTTACTTGAGTGTGTCCATAGGCATTGATAACACGGCAAAGTCTTGGTTTACCTGATTTACTTGGTATCTCAAGATCTAGATAAGCAACCCTGTCACTGATACTGTTGTAACACTTGATGTAGTTGGTATAGACTGAATTTACAAGAAAACCAATACCTGCTTGCCACTTATTGTCAAATTGCTGAAAGTTTATGAAGCGATATTTGTGTGATTTCCCATCATCATCTGTAAAATGCAAAACTGAATCCTCAAAGTGACGACATTTAGTTTCTTGCACAGCGAGAATGTCTATTTTACGATAATAGCAATCTCTCAAAAGTTCATCCCGTTTAACTGGAGAAGTAATACCCAGGACATTAAAAGTAGCTAGAGTGAAGATTAGTGCTGTGCTTCTTCTTTTGCGTTCTGATGTAGATAATCTACTCTGTACGTTGCCGCCAGAGCATCTGCCGAAATCACTCGAACAGGCCATCCTAAAAATATATAACATATTACATATTAATACAAATCGGATAAGAGTGATGTTTAAATTTCAATTATACTGTACACTTTGTTCTTATTCGCTGTTTCATGTGTTTATATCCAAATCGAATCTTTATAAAGATTATTTTTCAGGCCCCCTCCGCTCCAGCCTCAACTCCTGTAACCCCTCTACCAAGTAAGAATAGTTTGTACAATTTTCGTTTCTTATGTGTGTTTTCCATGATTTTCTTAATATTTGTTCTTCAATGATTTACTGATCCAGTGCTGCTTACTGTCTCATGAAATATCTAGTGTATGTTGTAAAACCTTTGTTGTAGCACCAGTTATTTCTGCATGGCTCTGCATGGGGGATGGTAACCTGATCTTGCATGGATAATGGATATGCAAATATGGAACGAAAATCTTATGTAGATCACAAAAACCGCTATCAAATCGTTTAAGAAGATATTTAATTTGAGGATCAAGGAAGCGGGTATGATTTGAACATCCCAACATATTCATCGCTGTGCAGAGCCGGGAATCATTAACTGGTGCTACGATATGTTGAATAACCTGTTAATGAATGATTTTTACCAAAAGACAATGTCAAAAATGGTGATTATCCCCAAGGTGTCAATTTGATTGAGTGTTCGTATTGTACAATGATTTTTGTTTCTCAGCAATCGAAGATGTGAAGATTACCATGTTTGGAAAGAGTTACTCGTACTCTGATTTTAACGACAGATGATCCTAAGACTCAATTACTAAAATATTAGCCGGTTTACACGACAGACTTTAAGAGTTGCCTTATCATGCCATACCCCCTGTTAATCTCTAATTAGCAGGGGGTATGGCATGATCTGTAAAATATGGCATGGGGGTATGGCATGATCTGTAAAATATCGACATATTTGTTTTGAATAGGTTTTTAAACGATACGTTTTAACTTAAAGAAGAATTATGCGATATGATATCTTTCTGGCTATTGCAACAGTCTAATAATAAAATGTTATGGGTTTCATCTCAACTGATTTGGTTGTCTTTTCACGGAATTTAAATATACCTTGATACCGGAGGGGAGGCAATGTTAGTATGTTTTAACACTTCCACGTGACTGAAATACACTAATCAGCTTGCAAACAATCATATGGACATGTTTATTAATAAATGTTCTCACATTTATCCATTAAGGAACCCTTTTCCGACCATTAGACGAATGCAGGCAAAATCCAACATGAGCAAAATCGTAAAATCAGATCAGAATGATTCTAGCTGCCTATGTCCAGAGATATTCTGGTAGTTTTAAGACGAAACTTTCCAAATGATATAAATATTTCACCAGTTCGGGATTCATAATCATCATGCTCAGAAATTGACAAGTTAAAATCACTGAATAAATATACTGCATAATACTGAATGAATATACTGAATAAATATACTGCATCCTTAAAATTATGTTTATGTAAGACCCATTACTCTGACTATACTGGCTTTTTGCACGTGGTATCTAATATCTATATCATTATGGACCAAATAACGGACCGATTCTTTTACAGGATTTATGAAAATAATCTTTGGAAGTTCAGTTTAACAACCATTCATCACAAAAAGGAAAAAGGTAACTGGCCAAAATATCATTTTGTGGGTCAAACTTCTTGAAAACGTGAGAACATTAATTAATGAACACGTGTCCACGAAAAGCTGTCACGTGCTCAAACAAGAGTGCATTACCTCCCCACCCCAATTATCTAATTATATAATACTAATTATCTAATTATATAATACTAATTACGGACTACGTAATAAACTATGTACATACTATCTGAATCAGATAGTTTCACCTAAAAAATTCTGCAATTTATCATTTCCAACAACTTTTAGTGTTATTGATAATGAGTTTATTGTTTCAGAGACCTTTATTGTAACATTAAATTGTTTATATATCTTTATAATGACGTAATTATATGTTATGATAGAATTTAGTCTTCAATTCATTTTCATCAACTTAATGATTCGTGTGTGTTTTGTTCTACGTATTTTGATCAAATAAATTCACAATGATGATGAATAAATTAAATGAAAACCAGTACAAAAGATAAACCTCATTATCAATGTCAATAATTTAAAATCAGAATAAAAATCACCAAGAAACAATAAAACCTCGCTGTTAGAATAAAAACATGCTCCGTTATCCCCATATTAACTGCCATTTGTTGGAATGCTGGGGTATGTCTGAGTCCAGGCAAACTCTTCAACGTAATCCTCTACTTCACAATCTTTAGAACACGAGTACACAACAATAGTAGCCCAGTCCATCTCATCCTTCTGCTTGCCCACACCCAGCAAATACAACAGAGAAGGTAGGAACTGAACCTCAAAGGAGCGCGGCTCGTGGCACACCGTGCAGGGTGGGGCTGTGTCACACTGTGAGGTAGGGACTGGCCAGAGTGGCGCGTCGTGGCGAGCGTAACGCAACACTTGCGAGGGATCCCGGCTGATACGTTCCTTGAATTTAGTGAACGTTGGGTCACTGTCTTGTCCGTATTCTTTAGACAAACTCTCCGCGTCATTTCCTGATATGTCATACCCATCGCTGGAGTTCTGGATCCTTGCCAACTCTTCTGGGTCCATCTGCAAGTCCTCTTTCTCTTTCTCTCGATCAATCATGATGTCAAACTCTTTGAAGAGGAGCGAACTTTTGGAGAGATACGCTGGTTTGTTGAAGATTGAGGGTTGGTCTGTGCAGTGGAGCTTGTGATCGTGCCAGTCTTCCTTCTGGTGAGTCTTGCTGCAGTAGTGAACTGAAATTATAATATTAGTTACAGTTCTATCATTATAAAGCACCTATTATAAAGCACCTCTATATAAAGCACGGATATAATTATTTGAACATTTTCTTGATGCCTACAGGATGTTTCAACTAAAATTCAGTCCCCCTAAAGTACAGATCTGATATTATTGTTAACTAATCACTATTTATTTGGAAGGGCTCTTGTACAGCAGCAACTATAATCTAAAATACTCAGTCAATACTTGATCACGTGATATCAGCCTGAGAGCAGGAAACAATATCTACCTTACTCGGGATTATTATGACCGGGATAAAGTGGCGGGTTTAGGGTAATTTCGCCATATTTTTGCCGAACCACATTTTCACCGGTTGTTAATAAACCCGCCGACTCAGCTTTTAGGGTTCCCAAGGGGTATGGGTGCTCATATTTTAATGGTTGTCTTATATTCACTAAAGAAGACTATTGGGACACTTGCTGTAGGTTTTTCGACTTCATTTGGCTAAAATTGCAAAAAATTCACCTTTTTGCCCAATTCTTGTCATATATCCTTATTGTCAAAGTTGATTTAAATAGGCCAATTTTTAATTTCTTAGGTATTGACTATCTCTACATAATGAAATAGGACTCAAAGTAAAAGTAACAGTTAAATTAAAACTCGAATTAATTAAAACGGTCAATAACATGAATCAGTTTCATCAGTCATTTATTCATAATTCTAAACAATGTGAACGATGCATTCTTTCGAAGATTTTCTACAAATTGAGTCATAATGGTTATTTGATACACGTAAACATGTAATGCTAATTCAAAACAACGAATTTGCTAGAGTCTACTTTCAACAATTATTGATAATTCGACTTGTTTCACAAGTTTTAGCAATGCGAAAATTTCTGAACCTGCTTATCTCTAATAAGGAAATTTACATCTGAGACAAAATTTTTGAATCTAAAATTGAAAGGTTGGACACCGGTAAAATGGCGACCGGGAAAATGTGGTGGGTTTTGAGCAATTTTGCCATATTTTTCCCGAACCATATTTTAACCGGTCGTTAATAAACCCGTCGTAATAATCCCGAGTAAGGTACTGACCAGCCTGACATTTGCCGCACTTTAGAGGAGCTTTACAACCACACATTCCACAAATATTGGTGTATCCGTTGTGAGATTGAGCAAAACTCTTGTTTTCTCCTATCTCATTTACATCCGCATCTCCTGAGGAAATGGAAATGATGTTAACATCTGATGTTGTATTTGAAGTTCTTGCTAAATATTGGTCATCTTACAGCTACAGGCTACAGCCGATAGGACCATTTAATTGGATTGTCTTAATTAGTTCAAGAAAGACCTGTAAAATGGACGTGAACTATCGGTTCTATACCTAAATATAAGATGTGAGTTATCAGATATTGGTATACCTTCAGGTACCGGCTGTACACTGTAGAAAGGGTTATCAGCAGATAGCTGGCTCCTGAACACTCTGACCGGTTGTTGGTTGTCTGAGTAACAACTTCCTCGCGTACACACGAACATGTAGAGAGTACGGTGGAATCCGTTAGAGGGCCGATCTAGTCCTGGAATATAATGTAGTGGTCAGAACACAAGCGCCTAGCTGATAAGTAACTTGCAAGTTACGAAATCTTAAATGGCAACATCTTATATTAACGATGAAATGAAATATAATAGCCTTCATGAAAAAGAAAACCATTGCAATACAGATCCCTAAGTCACTAATTCACTAATTCGCGTGTTTCTAGAAGCAGTAAAATCTATCCGTTTTGAAGAACCTGCGTATATCTGAGCGAAGAAAATGAGAGGGTCCCCACAAAGAGAGCAGAGCGGTACAGCGGGTAGGTTGGAGGGGTTCAGCCAGGCAGGGTGTCCTCCTATCTTACTGGGGAAGTGTTCTGGAGCGAAGAGGAGGGGGTTGTTCAGAGGGTCTGTGAACCCTACCTCGACACTGGGTCCTGACATTCTAGGGTTGGACCGGGGTTATGGACATTACAATTGAACAGTCAAATGTGGTTATTTAAAGAGAGTCCTGGATTAATGGGAATTCAAAAGCACGCGAATAAATAAGAAAGACGTGAAATTTAAGTTTGAATTATATAAAAAGTTTGAATAGACCATATTATTAAGATAAAACAGCATTAATGAGACAGTGCATGATTAAACGTCAAATCATTTTTTAATAGTCTCATAAGTTGATTTACAGTTAAAATTAAAAATAGTTAATTGTAACATTAAATTACATCCATCTAGATACGGAAATTACATCGAACTAAAAAGATTACGATGGTGCCAAAAAACTATACTTTTAAAAGTGATCGAAATATAAGAATAATTAGTTATATTAGAAACAATAATATTTATATATTATTATATTAATCTTATTTTCAGATGGTGGAAGTGGAAAATCAGCGCTGTTGAGTTCAATACAAGGGTTCGGTTCTGGTAAACTAAAGAAAACTGAGACAAATGATAGATCTTCTCCAAAAGTCTGATTAAAAACTGACTGGTGCCACTGATCTCAAATGTACCCAAGAAAGTTTCGAACACTTTTGCCTTTGCACTGATATCTACTCGACTTAACTTTAAACTAATATCTTTGAATTCAGTACCAGTTTTTGTTCATACCGTTTTTAAACTATAAGCGCAATTATACGCTGCTCCTACAATAACCTATTCGGCATTACCGATTTATAACTATAAGTGTTTGTATTTCAAAGTGTATACGTTATGAAAGTTCAACTCAGCTTAAGCCTTAAATTCAGTTTGTTTTCTGCAAAAATATTTTTAGAATTAAATGTCAACTAAAGAAATCGAACTTTCTGAATTAAATCAGAAAATAATATTATAAAAGACGAGGAATCAGCCGTAAGATTCATTCCATGTTCAATGTAAAATTATATTAAATACACTACAAATATTGAGCATACTGTTCAAATTAAAACATAAATCTCACTGATGAGTGACGACGAAGTTGCCATCAGACAAACTTTGTAAAATTCATAAAAAAGAAAGCAAAGACAAATTTATGAAATACAACATGCAATGTGAAGGTAAAATTAATAAAAAATTAGAAATCAGAAATCAATTCACTACTTAGTGGGAAGTTAATATGTATCTCTAATATCAATCTTTTACACACATGTCCATTTTTCATTGTCAAAATCATCACGAAAATGTGGCTGCCATTGAATTTGAAAGTGCAGCCTTTATTAGTTCCCAAGATTACTGATTGATGGCTGCAGGATTGTTGGTATGTACATAGCCTGGAGAACTGTCCTACTTCCGTCCCTCCTGTTTGACAGCAATATTGAAGAAAACAGCACACATACACATCAAACCTACATCAACTCCAGGTTTTACGGTCAGTAGATACGTTTGAATTGTAGTGTCACCCAAAGCTTGCTGAGCTTTTTCCTTGCTTATATCAGCATACTCCTCCTCAGTTTGGCCATTGAACATCTTTACTTCACTGATCAAACTGAAAAAGTTCACATTCTCCGACTTAATTATCATGTCCGGCTCCAAGTTGTCTATATCAGTTGGATCATCTCTCGTGGCATACGGTGGCTGGTAAATGTAAACGTGAGCTTTTTTCCGGAACTCAAAATGTCGTAGATGAAGAGTAGCGCGCCTTTGGATCAACTCGAAACCGCTGTAAATGTGAAATGTGATCCGCCAGGAAAACTTCTTTCTAACCAACTCAGCAACCTTTCGTCCATTCATATCGAATAGTTCATGGCTCAATAGATGGTTTCTGATCTGAAATTAGTTTAATACCTTAAACAATTAAATCATAATTATATATATATATATATTATACAACTATTATAGTAAGGACCTCCATTTGTTTTGAACATATTCCAAAATTCTTAACTAGTAAAGGTTTGCCCTGAAATACTGCAATTACAAGTAGGCCCAGGAGAGGTGAGTTTTACCATATCATAGTAAATATCATCAGCAAATAGCAATATCTACCTCAAAAAAATCTCTGCCATGAACGTCCTTTATCGTAAACCCACCATAGGCAGTCCACCATTCTTCTTTCATTTGTAGCTGAACTTCATGATCGAAACAGAATTCGTTACCAACAACCACCGGACAGCTTGACTTAGCCATCGAGTCTCTGCTATCCTACCCACCGAGATCAACGTATATTTTAGATGTGATATTGTAAAATTCTATTCATGATCATTGTTGCTGCTTGGAGAAACGTCCAGTAACAATTTTTGAGGTGATCTACACTGTACAGCTATTTACCTTCCAAAATAGGAATATTATAAGCCAGCTAATCAGGATTACTTTGAGCAATGTAGTTTAGTGCTTATAATATTTGGCTATGTATTAGCAAGTAAAACAAGATATATGATGGGAATTACAAGCAATACTCGAAATAAATTCAACTGGATGTGACCAAAACAGATAGCATGAAAAGATTTTATTTTAGTTGGAAAAATACGAATAGAAAAATTTTAAGATTTATAAATAACAAAACCTACAAGAATTCCGATAACTGTAACAACCTTTTTCGTTAATATAAATGGCGGTTAAAAATTTGTGATTTTTTGTCCATCCACATTGACATTCATTTTTAAGTTAGTTTGACACGTAAATAAATCACTGCTGCATCAAAATGTTATTTGATGGTGCCACAAATATAAAATATTCGACAAAAATCAGCAATTTTCTCATGGTAATCTGAGATATCGAAGGAAGGGGTAACCGCAGTTAAAACCATGTTAAAATCGTGTTTTTCGGGAATCACACCATTTTTTGACGGTCAATATTTTTAATGGTGATAATTTAACCTGCCATGATATTAACGGGTAAGGTATTTACAGGAGTTATGAGAACTATTTTATATTTGAAAATTCAATTAATTGCAAATCAAGCGTACATTTCAGCCATGCAAAATTACAATGAAATTATTTTGATGTAAAACTAAAAATAGTACTGCAATATAAGTTGCATACTGTGTGGCCGGATGACAACTAACTAAACCAGAAAAATAAACTTGATTATATAATGATTAATTCGGCTGAACCAACACAATATAGCAACAGCCACATTTAAGTTGGGGCCGTCAAATATAATACAAATTTATATTTAAACACAAACCTATTATAATACAGAATTTATCTCTAAATTAGCATGTAGAATTCATGGTCACATGCTGTTGACAATATATTACATAGAAAATGACATAGAAAATTCTGAAAGAAAATGACATAGAAAGTTCTGAAAGTAAAGACAGTTAAAATCTCTGACCTATAAATAATTTTTAATCTTATCGGACTTTAATTGAACGGATATTAATCGGACGCCAGAGGCCCTAGCATGCATTTTAACGTCCGTTCAAAAGTATGTCCGTTCACGTATTGTCGGAACAAATAACGTCCGATAAGGTTCACATATTCACCAGGAAGTTATTCGTTTTTGACAACCGAGTTGAAGAACACTGCACACAAACACATGAACGCGTGATCAACGCCCGGCTTTACCTTTAACACATAGTTAAAGGTGCTGGTTTTACTCATTCTCGCGTACTCCTCATCCATCTGGGTATCATATATCTTCACCTCCTTCAGAACTTTAAAGAAGTTGCTAGTTTCCGATTCTATTTTGATATCCGGCTTTATGTCGTCTACTTCGGTGGGATCGTCTTTTGTTAGAGCTGGTTGAAGTATGTACACGTGAGCCTTCTTGTATATTTTCCAGTTGCGGAGGTTTAGGGTAACCTTTCTGTTGTCCCCCTCAGGTCCGGTGTAGATGTGCATTGTATGTCTTTTAGCAAACCATTTTCTTCTCAGTTCTGCTAACAGTCGTCCATTCATGTCCGAGAGCTTGTGACCCGCAGAACAATTTTCTACCTGGACGATGAAAATTGTAAAGAATAATTAATCAAAATAAATACTGATAGAATAGAAGTGAAAGATCAACTTAATTAATAAATCGATTAATTAGACAAATTTCACAAAACTAAAAAGTAAACGAACTGTTAATTTCTAACCTTACCTTAAAGATATCATTCCCAGCAGTATCCTTGACAGTGAAGCCACCTATGGTGGTCCACCACTCCTGCCTCATGACCAACTCTACCTCTTTATCATGGCAGAACTCGCTGCCAACAATAGCTGATCTCCCTGCCATTCCTACCTAGAGTATTAGAATTAGAATTACAATAAAATTTACTCAGCAATAAAAATAGTAAATAATTTAAAGACGCTTCAATCTGCTGTGCAGGACAATATTCAAATCAGTCAAAAATAGAGTATATACTCTGTGACCTGTGTATATATACACTGTCAGACCTTGTTACTCACTTCTTATCATGGTTTCTAGTAATTATAATGCTTATCTAGTATCATAGGATCAATGAATCATAGAAGCAGTTTTCAGATGTATTATCGCATTTATCTTCAAACTTAACAAATTTACACGATTTAGAAGACAGTAAAATTGCTTGACTGTTGAATGAAATGTAAATTTTATTATCTTATGAATATTTTTATACATAATACAATCAAATATCAAATTTGATACCAATACATTGAATTCTAAACTCTACTCCCTTATTCAACCCATGCGCCATGATTACAATTTTTTAAATCACTCAATAACTAATATTCAACCAAAACCGGTCGCCGTCATTAAAAATACAATAGCAAGATATTCCGGCCTAAAAACAAATAAGTAAATAATTTATGATAACCTAACTACCTGCTACATAGTGAACTTAAACAATATACACAGCATAACTGATCGTAAATACTTTTTATCGTTTAACTTCTTCCTGTTCATCAAGTACTAACAGAAATCATTTCCTAGGAATTTTGAGATTTGGTGAGTTTGCAAAGGTATGGAATATGTAACTTCTAATTTAAACCCCCGGTTTCAAATTATTAAAAACGACGTCAAGGTGTAAAACATATATCATCCTCTTACCATCTCATCTTATGAGATCATTCTAAAAGTCGAATATCAGACTATAGTGCGGCAATCCAAGTATTGAGTTTAGAAATGTCAGTGTCTGCTCCGATACACACACCACCAACAGAGGTGACTTTGTTACCTAACTTTTCTAGCTTGATGGTCTCATTTGCTGGTCCCAACATCTTTTGGGAGCCTGAAAATTGCATGTCATGAACACATGACACCACGTTTGGATGTTAAATCAAAAGCCAAAATTTAACTGTCAGGGAGAGACTGTGAGATAAAATAAGTTTTTCGATCAACAGCACTACTTGAATTCATAACAGTAAAACAAAAAATAATGCTACACTACAAACCAGAATCATCAGATAACGCATTGACAGCAGTATTGTTTAATGTTGTCAGCTGAAACAATACGTGTTAATGTTAGCTGAAAGGCTGTACACTGTACAGTACTTGCTGCATATGGTGTTTAAAAAACTGCCACTGAGGAGGCCACATTGCTACTTGTCAAAAAATGCATTTATTATTATCCGATTCAGAAATGAATATTGAGTGTGTAAATATAAATGAGTCTGAAAACTGCAAGAAGTGTCATGTGACCTCTCTTTCCATGGCAGATCTGATGGGATCAGGACCACGTGACATTTCCTCGTCCTGTTTGTTACAAAAGACCAGTACCGGACACTTGGACCTCTGTACGTCAGAGTTCAGCAACACCTGGTGAGAATATTTGGGAACTAAGTTCTAGGTGAAATAAATAATAATAATAATAAATAAGTTGCCTGTTCCAGTGTCATAAGAGATTTACAAGATTAAAATTTGACAATTAGATTTCTTCTGCTACTTTCTCTCTCATTAATCTAGATAAAAAACAACATTCAATGTATAATATAATAACTAATATAAAAGGATTTACCTCATAGAGGACCTCAGAACACTCTCTAACGTGATCCACAAAATCAGCACTGTCAACCACAACCACAACCCCTCTCACACTATTGGAGTATCTGACCAGGGTGATAATATGGTGATCATTTATGTTGTTAAAAATAAGTACATCATATAGCAAGCAAAAAGTTGACAAAAGAGTTAAGTTGACAAAAGAAGTCTAAAAACCCTTGTATCTTTAGTATAAATTATTATATTACGATTTATTAAGATTTTGGTTTGACTAACTTGGAAAAGATGTCCCCTCTGAGCCTAGCATTTCCGGGAACATCAACGATTTTCAATAGAGGGTCTGTTAACTGTGTTGAGTTCTCAGTAATGGAGGACTGTGTTTGAACTTCTTTGCCGGCCACCAGTTGGGCATATAGCGCTGTTTTTCCTGAAAGAGAAAGTTTCAGATTTCGAAAAAATGTAGCATTATCATATTATGATATTATGTATCTTCTTGTTTCCAAACATCCACAGACGACTGGAAAAGAGAATTATTGTCTAACTTAAAATCAGTCGAATATATTAGGTTATAATGTATTTTTTCAAGCAACATTTTTAATACCTGATCCTTCAATCCCAACCATTATCAGAGTATTCCCTTTGGCTCTACCAAATAGCTGCTTCAAAAGAACATAAGTAAAAACTACCAGGATTAAAGCAACTAGTATAGGTATCATGTTGTTAAACTCCATTGAATCTGGCATTCTTGTTGTTTGAGTGGACATATTCCTATTCACTGAAAATACATTTACATCAGATTAAATTTTTGTAGAAACCCCAGAATTCATCAAGGCTAGTCTGAATTGAAAACTAGTTGACCAGCTATGTACAGTTTCCTGGACAACTGGGACCTTTTGGGCCATGTACTGGCCAATAACATGTATGGGCCGGCAGTGGGGTCTCCTTGTCCTTGGATCTGTGTTTTGATCCGTGTTTTCACAAAATTTCCCATTTGTATTACTTAGACTCCCCTATTAAAAGTTACTCGACACCACTGGTCCTAGTTAGATTTAGCCATGGCACGACTACTCTAACGTAACCCCATATCCAAAAACCCGCATTCTCGCATTCTAAGAATGTAGGAAATTTTTAAAAGTAGGAAATTTTTGACAAAAAGTAGGAAATTCGAGAGCCAACTCTGAGAATTTTCGATAATATTTCAGTAGGAATTTAAATGAAAGAGCAGACTAAAAGTTGCTGGACCGTTATTTAAATGTCCTCAGTCAGGGATCCACTGATCCAGTCTATCAAATTTCGTTTCACAGACCAAAGTTTGTTGCTATTAGCTACAAAATCTGTGCATCAAGTAACCACTAACCAGATGCTAATTATTGGGGCATTTTCGCGTACACGACATAAATAGTTGTCATTATTACTTTATTAACATTTTACTATCTACTTATCTAGTCTATGAAACCGGATATGTCTACAGTGTCACCCGATATCTGTATTGGCAAGCAGTAGCATATACACATCACGTCTTCAATGTGTGTATCACACTGCACACACCCAGCCCAAATTCGTGTGGCATGAGAAAATATCAGAAAAACAGGGCGTTTTAACTAATCTGTACGATGATGCTAGAATGGGCGTGAGAATTGGACTTTTTCTAGTTTTTTAATTAGTCACTCTGCCTGCTTGCTTTTGTTGCTTACATTGGGTTGTTGAACTTCCTATTAATCATGAATCGTCCAAAGTTCAAGTCTAAATCCGAGGTCCAATGCGGTATATGCAAAGAAGTTTGTACTCGAGCCGATAATCTAAAAGTTCATTTTAAGAGGTGTCACCCAGGGCATCAGCCCTATGAATTCATACCGAATCAACCTAAGTTGAGGTAGCTATCACATTAAGACATTAATCGGGTGGAAATCATTTTTGCATGAATTATCTTTACATGCTCCTGATCCTAGTTAGGTATCACTCTAAACTTGCATAATGCATAAGAATTCTTTGTTGCGTTTCCTATCTTCTTTAAATAGTAAATACTAATAGTCATTATTATATTTTTGGAAAATTTAAATTCCTTGTTTCTTGAATATTTGGTCTCATACTTGCTTCCTTCTCCAAATTCCCTTAACCCTGTATTAGTTTATAGCTTGAAAGCAGAAAGTGATGGTAGTTGTAATGTATTATTGATTATAATATGACGATGTATATTTCTTATTACTAATCAATCTATTTCAGCCTCTATTTAGAGGTCTAGCAAGACAGTCTATTTCATTGGTCCATAACATTGGCGACGAGTATGACAAAATCCTACCCCTATCCTCTGACCGCTACAGTCAGCGCGCCGGAAGACTGGTTCGAGCAGTACACATGGTTTCTCAAGTCCCAAAAATCCTATCCGGTTGAACCGGAACCGTTAGTAGAGAATCCGAATGAAGCGCAACGAACCGCGCATGCACAACTGTTAGCGGAATATAATCAGCTATGTCAAACGATCAAACCTCACTTCTTAACGAGCATTGATCCAGAAATCTTTTCCCTACTTACGTCTTTAGCATCTCCAAATGACGTCAACGAACTTACATATTTCGAGATGAAGACAATTCTCATAAATCACATGGTCCCGAAACCGACTGTTTTGGCAGAGCGATTCAGATTCTACAAATGCCACCAAAAGCAGTCGGAGAAAACAGCAGACTTTGTTGCGAGGTTAAAAAAACTGGCAGTCAAATGCAAGTTTACAGACTTCGGCAGTTCAATGTTAGATCAATTTATAATGGGAATTGTTAACTCAGAAGCACAGGAGTTGCTATTGGAGGAAGATTTCGAACAACTGACACTAGAGAGAGCGTATAGAAAAGTGGTGGCAATGGACAGATCTAAATCAGAGGCTGCAATGATTAAAAACTCCCAGCAAACTGTACATAAGGTACAGATCAGCAAGAAGTCTCAAGGGAAATCTTCACAGGGAAGTTCCAATCAGGAGACAAGATGCAATAAATGCAAACTCAAATCGCATGCAACCAAGGACTGCTATACTAAATGTTTCAACTGTGGTGAATTGTATCATACTGCTAAGGACTGCCGTAAGAAGACGAAACGCAAGTCCTGGAAACAGAGTGGTAAATCTACACATCATGTATCAACAGACTGCAACAACAGCGATTCAAACAGCGATTCAAACCAGGACACAGAACAGTTTGTGAGTCGAAATATTTACTATTGTGAATTGTCGGAGAAATCCGTAAGTTTAGATGACCAGTTAAATGTTTTGTTTCAAAAATCTTCAAATTTGGGCAACAACCTGACAAGTATTGATGATTCTAAAATTCAGGATGATGATAATAGTGTTCTGTATGGTAGTAATTTGCATGATGATTCGCATGTTGATTTGCATGACAATAACATTATTTTGCATGATAACAGGTTTTTGCATGATAACACTGTTTACTTCGATAACGTGAACTTTTTGCGTGATTCTAGACCCCTGATCAAGGTTTGGATCAATCGCCGAGAGTGTCTGATGGAGTTTGACAGTGGATCAAGTGTATCTGTGTGCAGTAGAGAGATGCTGAAGAAAGCTGGTGTGGAGTTTAAGTTGAGAAGTAGTGATAGGCAACTGCGTGTGGCGAATGGTCAATACCAGCAGGTATGCGGTAAAGCAGTTGTGGAAGTGGCGATAAACAACCAGATTGTGAAAGGGTTGGAACTGTATGTGGTGGATAATCACTTTCCAGCACTGTTTGGACGCTCTTGGATTACAGAGTTTTGTGGTGAAAACTGGTTAGAAAAGTTAGTAACGAGAACACAGGGCCAAACAGCAGAAGTTGGACAGAGACCAACAAAAGAGGTTGAACTGGAGAGAACTGATGGAAACTGTAGCGCACACGAAGGAGAATTTCCTGGGACTCAAGAAGGAGTACGAACAGTGAACATGTTGGGAGTTATGGAATCAGAACCAGTGACAGATACCGCCAAGAGAAAGTTTAAAACTGGACAACGATGTGAGGACGAAGAGACTGCTCCTAGAACACATCAGTTGAGAAATTTTGTTAGTGTGGACGATGAAACAGATCCTGGAACACCAACAAAGATACGGACAGTACAAGAGATAATGTCTAGTGACATCTTCAAAGATGAGTTAGGTCTGGTAAAGAACTATAAAGTGCAACTCCAATTGAAGGAGGGAAGCAGACCTGTCACGCAGAAATCAAGAGCAGTACCTTTTGCTATTAAAGACTTACTGGAAAAGGAGTTAGACAACATGGTGAAACAAGGAATTTTGAAGAAAGTCAAAGAGAGCCCATGGGGAACTCCAGTTATGCCAGTGAAAAAAGGAGACGGTGTGAGAATATGTGGAGACTTTAAAGCAGTCAACAAACTATTGGAAATGAAACATCACCCGTTACCAACTACAGAAGAATGTTTTGCAAGCGTTTCGGGAGGAGAAAAGTTCTCAGTCATAGACATAAAACAAGCGTACAATAACGTGGAGCTATCAACAGAAGATCAACTCATCACGACAATGAATACGCATATGGGACAGTATGTGTGGACGCGCTTACCGTATGGAATAAATAGCAGCGCAGCAATCTTTCAGAATCTGATGGACAATGTACTACGGGGTATACCTATGGTTTGCTGTAGGATAGACGACATTTTAATATCAGGAAAGAACGATAAAGAGCACTTAGATAATCTGAATAAAGTTGTGAGAAGACTGGAAGCAAACGGTTTCAGATGCAGACTGAATAAATCTAAGCTGATGCATGAAGAAGTGATTTATCTAGGACACAAGGTGAACAAGCATGGTATGTCACCAGTCAACAGCAAGATAGACGATCTGTTAAAAGTACAGGCACCTGAAAATGTGAAAAATTTAGTAGCATTTCTGGGAGCAGTTGGGTATTATCGCAAGTATCTACCAGATTTGTCGACAATAATCGCTCCATTGGACGAGTTGAGAAAGACTGAAGTTGAATGGCGATGGACAAAGACTGAACAGAAAGCCTTCGAAGAATTAAAGAAATTACTTTGTTCTGACAGAGTATTGACGTTCTACAACCCGCTGAAACGTTTGAAGCTGGATACAGACGCAAGCAGCGTGGGTTTGGGAGCTGTATTGTCACACATAGATGATGATGGAACAAATGAACGTCCGGTTGAATTTATTTCAAGGACATTATCGAATGCTGAGAAAAAATATAGCCAGATTGACAAAGAAGCTTTAGGGATAGTCTGGGCTATAAAAAGGTTTCATATGTATCTGTATGGAAGACACTTTGAACTAGTGACGGATCACCAACCGTTAGTACATATATTTGGACCTAAGAGAGGCATTCCAGAGATGACGGCGAACAGATTATCCAGATATGCACTGCTGTCACAAAATTACGATTATAACATAGTATACAGAAATACAAAAGAGCATGCTAATGCTGATGTAATGTCCAGATTCCCGAAAAAAGTCATTCATGTGGACGAGCCAAACGAATGTGAAGAGGCATTTTCTTTGACCATGGAGGACGCACTGATAGATGCAAAAGAAGTTGCCCGGGAGACATCCAAAGACATTATTCTGAGCAAGATAGCGATGTACATTGTAGATGGCTGGCCGGAAAAGATAGACAAAGATCACAAGGAGATGAAAGCCATGTACGACAGAAAGAACCAACTCACGACTGAAAAAAGATGTATCACATGGGGAAATCGTGTAATCATTCCACATAAACTAAGAGCAGAGGTTCTTAAGATGCTACACCTTACACATGTAGGGATGACTGGAATGAAAAG